CAGGCTATACAGCTGTGTCACAAATACCAACTCCTCCCATAGAAGCAGCCTCTGGTCTATGCAGGTTCTCCCCAGTTCTGATCCGTATTTTCACTTTAAAATGTTCTTTTGAAATGAGGTCTTGCTATGTTGCTTAGTCCTACTAACAGGATTGAAGTGATTCCCCTCCCCCCACTCAGGATCCTCTTGTAACGGAGACCACGGGAATATGCTTCTGCATTTGCTATATCTTTTAAACATTTTTTATTTTCATGAAGATTATTAACAATCTGAATTTCATAGACATAAAATATTAGTCAATATGTTCAGTAGCTATTAAGTGAAGCGAATAGATCTTTTCCTTTTACAAACAGGACATTTAGAAAATACACTAATGAAGAAAGATAAAGAAAACTTGTATTGTTTCCATAAAATGTGCAACTATACAATAAATATATAAATAATAATAATAATATATAAACATAAATAAATAAAATAACAAGGTTTCTAAATTAAGTATAAAGAAATTTGCTGTAAATTTCCTGGTAGTAAAGTCTTGGTGCTTATTTGTTTTAGACTATATCTAGAAGGGTTCCTTTTAGTGCCCTGGAAATCATATGATAGGACTGATGAGGAACAGCTAAGGGACTCATTCAAGGCTCACATCTATCTCTGCATCTGAAAATAACTCTTGCTCCATTATAATAATTGCCAGGCTCCAACTTGGATGTTGAGATTAAGCTTGCCTTTGGCATCACACATCAACACAGGATTAGGACAAGTTCTGCCCCCTGTGCTGTATAGGTAGCATAGAACTGGTGGGGGTCAGGCGGTCCAGAGAGGGAGACCCTGAGAGCTTTCTGAAGTGAGTGGTGGGTGACTGCTCGGAGAACAGCACAGCAGCAGCTCAGCTCTCCCATCGATGACCTATTTCCAGGTCACTCAGTCTATAAAATGTGTAGGATGGGAGGTGGTGATTAGGTTTCCCTGAGCCCTAGAATAATGCCACCTCTGATCTGCAGAAATGAAAAAAAAAGGAGCTTTTCCTTTGCAAGTGGATTTTTAAATATTTCTCCATTAATAGTTAATGCACAAGCAGACCATCAGAGTGACAGCTCCCTGTGATTATGAATTCTGGCTTCGTAACTCTAGTCCAAATAGGAGCTGAACTTTCAAAATCACGGTGGTTACTTTTGACAAATTAAATTGTCCTACTTAGGAAGGTAGAAAGAACGAAGAGCAAGACTGCGAGAGAGAGGGAGCAATTTCTCCTTGACTCGGGGAAAAAAAAAACAAGAAGGGATGATGTTTGTATTTTCTGGGCTGAGGGTACTGCCAGTGTTTATTAGAAAATATACACAGAAGACTCTTATTCAGAGGTAGGGCAAGAGAGAAGGGGGCAGGAATATGCTGCTGCTTCAGCTTACCGTCTCAAAACTGGAAAGAAAATGGAATTGAGAGAATAGTTAATTTTTAATAAGAATCGAGTTTTTCTCAAAATGATATAGTTTAAAATTAATTAGAAAGAAAGAGGTCTTAAATGTCTAACAGTCTGGAAACAAGAAATGGATTAAGCGTACTTTATACTTTATGACTGTATTGAGGCTTCTAAACTACGTCATCGGTATCAAATGCCATTGATAAATCAAATGCCTACCAAATGCCATTCTTGCCCTGTACACGTTCTTTTGTGTTTGGCTGGCTTTGGTGAAACAACATATAACAAGAGAATCCTACTCAGAAAGTGTGCTGAGTGAGTGGTTCTACATCTAGCACTTAAGAGTAGGTGGTTTTCTAGCAGACACCAAAATATAAAAGCAAATCGGGACAACCAGGAAATCAGTAGCTAGTATGAAAAATGCTAAGTGAACTTCTCTTTCTGAGACTAGAAAACGGAGGTTTTCCTCTAACCTAACATTTCCAAATGTGGACCTTGGGGCTCACTTACGACTGACTATACAAATACATAAATCTGGAAGCAAACATCTGTGCCTGGGCAAGAGTTGGGTAACGGAACACCAAGCTACCTAGGGACAGAGGAACAGAGACTGCAGTGATAGGAGGAATGACGGCTGTCCTTGCCCATGCTCTCTTTAGTTTTTACCTTCACTCAACTCAAGAGTTTCTTTAGAAATCCCACAGTCATCCCTTTCAGTTATGTCACCCATTAAGAGCTTCATTTCTAGTTTTCATTGTTGTCTATGGTTTGAACCCAGGGGCCATGCAAGCACTCTCTCACAAAGCCATTCTCCAGCTGGGATGATAGTGTGTGCATTAGCACACACTATCAGACTTGGCGCGCGCGCGCGCGTGTGTGTGTGTGTGTGTGTGTGTAATAAGTGCAAGGCACTTTCCCTGATTTTGACACTTTCTATAAATGAAAAGAACCAGCAAGATAACTCAGCAGGTAGAGATACTTGGTGCCAAGCCTGAGGTCATGAGTTTGATCCTTGGCTCCCAGATGGTAGAAGGTAAGAACCACCTCCCTTAAATTGTTCTCTGACCTCCACATGTGCAATGTAAACATACACACAAACACACACACACACAAACATACACGTACGCACATACGCACGCACACATGCACGCACGCACACACACACACACACACACACACACTGTAAAAAAAGGAATGAAGATGGGTTAAGCAAGATAGGTTAGGAAATCTCTGAAGTGGGTTCAGATCTTCAGCAAAAGAATAGTAACTGTCTCCTCTGGTGGGAGATGTGGTCCCACAAACTCTAAATGTCCCCAAACACCAGTGGTACTTTTAGTAAGACTTTTGATAATGCATTGATAAACAGGGGTGGTGGGAGCCAGTGTGGAAATTAAAGATGATCAAGTGGTTTCCTGGCATTTGAAAGCCCAAGAAGACCTGCCTGCAGAGCAATTAAAGAGCTCCAATCCTCCAGGACTCTCTTTGATCGATAGGTTACAAGTTCCTCTCTAATAAGTCATCAGTTTAGTGGATTCCTGAAAAAGCAGATTAAAACAGAGGAATAGAGTATTGGAAATGTTGACCTGACCCAGGAGGCCCCAGGGATTCTTGGGCAAGACCTCAAACTAATCCTCAGTCAGTTTTCCTAATCTAAAAGCCATACTTCTACAGGATTCCTAACACCATATCCTCAGGACTGCTTTGGAAGTTTCCAGACCTCTGCAATTTTTGGGACTCATGCCAAGACCCTTGCACACCTGTAGCCTTTTCCCTCGGTTTCTTGGTAATGCTTTCTTTAGAAACCAAATGCAAAGAGACTATTGGCCTATGTTGAACACCTAAAAGCAGAAGCATAACGACAGATGAAAACAACACAGTATGGAAAATGTTTGGAAAAATACTTCAACCCAGAAGGCCTGAGTGGGTGGAATAATCACCCTCAGTGTGCCAGAGTGGGCATTCTCAGGCAAAGCACTTACAAGGAAACCACCAGAAAAAGACAACTGCTTTTTTCATTCAGTGACTTCCTATTAATTGTGATGTAAATTATATGGCTGTGATTTTGACAAAGAATAGCAGTGTTTCAGAAAAATAGTGGCTTATATGCAAAATACAAAATGCATCAAGAAGACAAGAAATGTTACTTGGCAATGTAACGACAATAAATTCTGAGATACTGGCTTAGAAATACAATATTTTTCTAGCACTAGATTAATATACATTTGTAAGCATTTTTCAGATGTAATTTTTGATCCTGACAGGAGATGTGAAATAGCCTAGCTTTAGTTATATGAGTTGGAAACTGTTACAATGTTATGTCAGAAAAGATTTTGGGTGGTGCCGACAGCTACTCTTACAGGAAAACAGAAAAGTCACTGAACAACATCAGGGCTGGACAGAATTCTTCAGAGAGTAAAATGTCCCCATTTACTGAGTCCCTTGGGTGCCCATATCTCTTCTTAACTAAGATGGCTCCCAAAGGACAATAATTAATGTCAATCAGACACTATCAAAGTATATGTCTCTCCTTAGAGGAGGCAAAAGTTAAAATACTTTATTAAAGAAAGTTTACCGAAAATGGTAAAATTGAAGAAGATAACTTTCATTTGACCTTGAATGTACTTCCTATTCTCTAAGAATTTTTAAGAAGCTAGAGGGTAGTTGTTTCTTGTCATTATACTGTTGCTGATTCTGTGGTTAGTTATTAATTTTATTTTTTATGATTCACAATCTGCTCTTTGAAATATGCCATATGCTCAAAGCAATTCAAGGATGACAACTGTCAGAATTACTCCAATAAAAATTGCTTAAATGAGGAAGATTTACTGCAGCTGATATTTCAGCAGAGAGTCCCTCTTTCTTCCCCCACAGCTTTTCCAGGGACTGTGAATCTTACAGCCATTTTATTTTTTCCCCAGTAAAAATCACATGATTGTTTTGTAAGGACTTCTTAAGACTATTGAAATAGAATTGGTAAAACACTCTAGGTTAAGGAGGAAACCAGCAGACATGGAAGTAATATAGATAGTTATCAGCTGGGTTTCCTGAAATCAACATGAATTCCAAGCAAGAATTCTTAAGCCACCTGAAACTGCACAGACTTGATGACAAGGTTTGCTGTATGAATCACTCGCTTACCTTAGATTGTAAAAGCCTGTACTTTGGTAACAAGAAGTCAAAATGAAGGCAAATTTCTTTCTTCTGGGAAGGTATAAAGGGGTGGATCGAATCCACCTGAGTGCTCCAATCAAAACACACATTGTTAAATGTTATCCTGGTTCTGTTACAGTCTTTTTTTTTATTAATGCAGTTTCATTTATTGCTATTCATCTTGAAGATAAAGCTCTGTCCTTCTTTGGAATTACATAAAACGGAATGTGATAAAGGGAACTTTCTTGCAATTATGATGTCGGTGCAGCCTGTCAGTACACTAGGGATGGAAATGAGTTTGGGACGGGGGAGGGAATTCTAATAGACACCATGATACGTACAATGAACACAAAGGTATCCTGAGAGAGAGGAGACTTGTCAGGCTAATCAGATCTTCCACAGCAAAGGAAAAGCAGGGAAGGGTAGCTCTAACCTTGTAAAGATGCTGCTGCTGCTCCTCTGACATCATCAGGTCATGGCTGTCCATCACCAGGGACTCCATGTCAATCAGCCAATCCCAGAGCTCCTGATATTCTGAATCAAAGTCCAGAAGCCTGTAGATAAGGCACAAAAATGTATTATGCATACATACAGTGTAGTTGTTAAAATCTCATATTAGAATAATATATTCTTCGAAACCCATGATGTTCCTAGGTGAATACCTGTAAAAAGAGAAGGGAAAAAATCCCCTGTATGGTTACACAGAGGGCAAAGTAGGAACTTAAAGCTGTGACACAGCTACTTCCTAGATTTTGAAAGCATTACATGTAATTCCTATACTCACTTCTGAGCCACACCATGCCGATTCCCATTTGCTAACCCTTTCTAAACAAAGAGACCACCATGACTATGTCCTTGAAGAGAAGCAGTATCACTTCACAGACAGAAATGGAGGATCGGTGACTTGCTGAAGTCTTCATAGTCACAGATTTAGGGTAAAGACAGCAGCATTTTCAAAATCTGAATTGCTTTCTCATTTAAATTTCCTATGTGTTGCACCTCAATAAGTCTACTCCTAAAAATATTATCTAAATTTTCAACAATGATAACATATGCTAACAAATCAAAAATATTATTTTCCCTGAAAAAAATGACTCAATCATTCACCTGTCCCCCTGCTGTCTATCTGCCTATCTCTGCAAACGCGTATCCTACATTTATTGTCATGGATGAGTAGCTAGCATTTCAGTTTAACACTGAGAGATAGGCTTGAGTGACTCTGGTAAGCCAGTGAGAACCAGTGGCAGATCCAGTATTAGACAGGTGTTCCCCACAGACATGCAGGAAACAAAGGTAAGGACAGAAAGTCAAAACAATGAATCTTTGAATAGGCAGCAATCATTAAAATTCAAAGGAGGATCACTATGGTTTTCAACAAAATAAATCATTAGAATAAGGAGCTTAACAGGATTAATGTGATTCTCTATTGAAAGCCTGGTGAATAAGTAAAGCCCAGATTCTTCTAAAACACTGTGATCAGAAAATGAAAGTACAGGATGAAAACTGTGACTTTGTCCTCCCACCCCCAAACAACCCTTAAGAGAAATGCTACAATTTTACCTAACTCAATGGAGGCAAATTCTCATGAAGTAGTGACCTCAGCTATGATGTGGATGGGTCAATGGAGTGTGTATTACTTCTCTGTTCTTGTCTCTCTAAGTCACATTGCTTTTCAAGAAAATGCATGCCATATACTTCATAGACATGTCAAACAAGTTTATGGTGGGTCTGGGAGTGGGAAGACTTAATCTGGAACTGCCTATTTTGCTTTAATTGTTTTCGCATTATTACCAAGATTCTTGATTGTGGAACTGATTAGTAAGGGTTCAGATGCCAGTGGTATGTCTAGCTGCTGCAGGGACAAACTTCAGCTGGTGTATGGTGGTCTACAACAATGCTTTTCACATTCAATGAAGATGTGGGCACAACTTTTAATTCTAGAAAAATGGAGGCACTAACTCATACTTGGGGAGGAAGATGAAATTCTGCATTTCTAACCAGTGTGGTCAATGCTTTGGATCCACGGACCACACTCTGAGTAGCAAGGGGTTTCCAGGACACTTGGGAAATCTGAATTAGTATTCCTACTCAGCAACAAACCAACACTATAGGAAGGTAAATAAACCATCAAGATTTCAAAGTTAGTCTGTGAATAACAAAGAGAAAAATACATGTGAAATTATGGCTACCATTTCCTTCACGTCTGCCTTCTATATTTTAGCAATAAAAATTGGGGAAAAGTGAAATGCGACCCACAAAAATTGGGGAGTAGGATATGGAGGGATATTGAAACCAAAGGGAGAAAGAAAGAAATGACCAGTTCTTCATTTAAGTGGGCTTGGAGGACATGAACCAAGTAAAGACAGGAAGAGCAGATACTCTAATGCATCTCCCCTTCTCTATTTGCTCAGGTCCTAGAGAGAAATCATGTGAGAAAGGCTGATTGTGAGGTAAAACGTCCATAAGCCTCAGTTCCCTCTCCTGCTCGGAACTGTAGAAGAGATTGTCTTCTGCGGCACACTTGGAACAAGCAGAACCCAGTGAGGATGAAAGGGTGAGAGGAAGGTGTGGGGGGCTAGTTTTGATTAAGGCTCCTGTTGACACTGTGTTACCTAACCTTCTCCAAGAAATGACTCCAAGGTTACTGGAAGTTCAATGGCTAAGCTGGGCAGAAGTGTTACCATGGCAACACAGGTACAGTGAACCTATGGGTGTGCGGGTGGGGATCCGGCATGGGACACCAGGCCTCTTTGGAATTTGGTAGGGCCCATGAGGGTTGAGATGGGGCTTAGTCAGCTAGAATTCCACCAGGGCCTGACCAAGCTTAGAGACAGCAGGAAGTAAAACAACCACAGCTGTCCTCAAGGTGACACTGGCCTGGGACAATCAAGTTAGCCTGTTCCAAAACCCTCTACTTAGCCATTGCATTCAACAAAGCACAAGGTCATGTAAACTTCCATTTGCTCAGCTATCATACTGAAGAAAAGAATGGAGAAAGGGAGATCTGAAAACCTGAGCATCAACCAAGACATCACTCCCTAAAGAGGATGAATAAATTAAGGAGGCAATCATATGGTTAAAGCTTCAGTGCCGATCTTAAAATGTGTCCTTCCCTTATTCTCTGAGGTCTTCTAGTTTGGTTTTGGTTCTGTGATTGTGGTGGTTTGAAATAAAATGGCCACCAAAGGGAGTGGCGCTATTAAGAGGTGTGTTGGGGGCTGGAGAGATGGCTCAGCGGTTAAGAGCACTGACTGTTCTTCCAGAGGTCCTGAGTTCAATTCCCAGCAACCACATGGTGGCTCACAACCACCTTGAATGAGATCTGGTGCCCTCTACTGGCATGCTGAAGATTGTATACATAATAAATAAATAAATAAATAAATAAATAAATAAATAAGAGGTGTGTTGGAGGAAGTCTGTCACTCTGAGGGCAGGCTTTGAGGTCTCTTTTCTCAAGCTTCCCTCAGTGTGACAGTTAATTGACTTCCTGTTGCCTGTAAAATATAGCACTCTCAGCTCCAGCAGCAAATCTGCCTGCACACTGCCATGCTCTCCACCATGATGATAAAGGACTGAACCTCAGAAACTGTAAGTGAGCCCCCTCAATTAAATGTTTTCATTTATATGACTTGCAGTGGTCATGGTGCCTTTTCGTAGCAGTACAAACTCAAACTTAGACAGTGATAAACACCATGACCAAGAGCAACTTTCCAGGGTGGAGGGTGTTTATTTTGTACAAATTACAATCCATCATGAAGGGAAGCCAGGATAGGAACACAAGGCAGAAACATTTAAGCAGGAACTGAAAGCAGAGGCCATGGGGGGAGTTTTCTTTTTCTTTTTCTTTTTTTTTTTTTTTTTTTTGATTTTACGAGACAGGGTTTCTCTGTATTGTTTTGGAGGCTGTCGGTCCAGCCTGGCCTCGAACTCACAGAGATCCGCCTGCCTCTGCCTCCCGAGTGTTGGGATTAAAGGCGTGCACCACCACTGCTCGGCAAGGGGGGGGGAGTTTTCTTAATCATGGCCATTCTGATTGAGGCAAAATGGAATCTCAAAGTAGTTTCAGTTTGCACTTTGCAGGGAGTTGGTAGGCTAGTCTTTTTTTTTAAAGGATATTTTTGTTTCTTTAAACCGATCATATATATTAGTGCTCAATTGATTAGTCACCTTCTTATTCCTTTCATCCACTTTTCTATGGGAAAGCTAAAGAAAATTTATGAACAAGAGAATGATTAATGAATAGACTTGAAATAAATGAAGAATAAATACAGGATCATAAAAGGCTTTGAACCATGGAAATTTCTCCACTGGCTTTCACTAGGCCTTTCAAACTCTTCCTATTTATTATTGCTTACCAACCAAGGGACTCAGAACAAGCTGTCTGTTGCTGTTGAATGTAGCTTGGGCTCTTAGTTCACACTGGAGACCTGAGCATATGGGAGGAGTCTCACAAGGATGCTCTGTGCATCTCCAAGACACTCTTCTCCTTTACAGCTATGGACAGTTAGATTCGACGTTGAATTTGTAAAAATGAGTATTATGCCTCCAGGCAGTGGTGGCTCACACCTTTAACCCCAGCACTCTCCAGAGGCAGCGGCAGGAGGATCTCTGTGAGTTCAAGCCTGGTCTACAGAGTGAGTTCCAGGACAGGCTCCAAAGCTACACAGAGAAACCTGTCTCGAAAAATAAACTGTGGTGATCAATTGTTTGTGATCTACGAAAGCTTGCCTGGAGATCAGAATGCAAAGGTAGCCACAGCCATAAAGGCCAGGCAGTGGTGGCACACACCTTTAATACTTGCAGCCATACTAGTTAGCCATAGAACCAGGCAGTAGTGGCACATGCCTTTAATCCCAGGACAAAAGAGGTACATAAGACAAGAGTAGGGTCTCAAACAAGCATTCAGTCTTAGGCATTCAGTTTTAGGCAATTACTCTCCAGCCACGTTGAGGACAGGATTTCCCCAGCCTTGGTAGAGGTAAGAGCTCTCTGGTGACTTGGCTGCTTTGCTTTTCTGACCTGCACCTTGAGTCCCAATATCTGTCTCTGGGTTTTTGTTATTCATGTTCCAACAAACAAAGAAACAAATCCCAAACCAGAAAACAAACAAAAGAAAGAAAGATCTATTTCACAAGTCATGCTTTGCTCATATGTTTTGGTCCTTTGATATAGAGTTAGCACTGGTGTCCCCAAAAAATTACCACCAAGTTGTGATATAGAAAACAAGAAATGTTTTTGAACAGGCATCTGTGCTTGATAATGCTGGTCATGTGTTAATTTATAAGTTTATAGGAAAACCTTAGATTTTTTTCAAATTTAGTGAAACCAAGTAAATAATTTTGTAGCAAATTAGAAATTGATTACTGAACTTCTTGTTTGATTTTTGTGAAACATTCTGAAATGTCTACAATTTTATGTGCATACCATTGCAGGAAATTTTGTATGCTTGGAAGTCATTAAAACTTCCTTATATTTATGTTATTTTAAAAGGTATGTGCTTTTCAAAGGATTTGATGCAGAGGCAGTATCATCCATGTATAGTGTCAGCTACAGT